GCGGTGTCAAGATGGGCAGAGCTGAGAGGGGAGATGGACAGAGTTGGGGTGGACAGAGTTGCGGGAGATAGGGGTGGGGAGAGATGGGTAAGGGTCGGGGGAAGAAACAGGGAGGTGGGTACAAATGGGAAAGCTGGGACCCAGATCTAGGGAGAAACAGGAGAGATGAGCATGGAGGCGCAGAGGGATGGACAGAGATGAGAAAATCCTGGGCAGAAGTGAGCAGAAGTGGAGAGAGATGGGTCGAGGTGGGGAGATGGGGGGCGAAACAGATGGGGCAGAGGAGGGTGAAAACTGGTCAGCGCCCGACCAGAGGCAGAAAGAGATACAGGAGAGATGGTCAGAGGTGGGCACACAGGAGCCAAGAGGAGGAGGAGCTGAGAAGTGGAAGAGCTGGAAAGGAGAAAGAGGGAAGAGAGAAAAGGGGGCCGGAGGGGGCAGCCTCGACAAGGGAGGGGGCGAGGCGGGGCCAATGGAGGCCTTACCCCGCGCCGCCCGCAGACCTCGCTGCTGCTGCTGCTGCTGCTGCTGCTTCTCAGCCCCCGCCTCCGCGGGGCCCCGGACTGCTCCTTTCCCCACAGCCCCATCTCCTCCACCTTCACCAGCACCATCGGCAAGCTGGTGAGCGTCCCTGCTCCAAATGTGAGGTCCAGGTTCTGTCTCTGGGTCTGAGTTCCCCCTGTCTAGGTCTCGGTGGGTGGCTCCCTGTCTCCCCACACTGGGTCCCCGGCTCCCCTCCCCCAAGTCCCTGCTCCCTTCTCTCTGGGTCCCTGTCCCCCTCTCTCTGGGTCCCCGCCCTCTCCGGGTCTCTGTACCCCTCTCTCTGGGTCCCCATCTCCCCACCCTGGGTCCCGCCCCCTTCTCTCTGGGCCGCTGTCCCCCTGCCCCCAGGTCCCCATAGCTCTCTTTCCTCCTGTCTGCAGCCAGGCCTGACCCTGTTTTCTCCCGCAGTCTGACTACCTGCTTCAAGATTACCCGGTCACTGTTGCCTCCAACCTGCAGGACGTGAGTCACAGATGGGAGGGGCCTGGGATGGAGGTGGGAAGGAGAGATTCAAGATTCACCACCCCTCAGGCTAGTGTTCTGACCCGGCCCCCTCCTCCCCTGGGACCCTGAAGTCCCGGCCCCCAGCGCCACCAGTCTAAGCCCCCTGCCCCCTCTGCCCACGGGACCCAGAGCCTGGGTGGTCTCTCCCCAGGACGAGCTCTGTGGGGCTTTCTGGCGTCTGGTCCTGGCCCAGCGCTGGATGGGACGGCTCAAGACTGTGGCTGGGTCCCAGATGGGGAAACTGCTGGAGGCTGTCAACACCGAGATACACTTCGTCACCTCATGTGCCTTCCAGGTCAGCCCTGAACTTGGGGAACAAGTGAGGGGAGCGTGATGCTTTCCTAGGGATTGGAAGCAAAGGTCTGCTAGGCCGTACTGGAGATTTCCTTTGACCTGATCAGCCTGAGGGAGGTGGAGCTGGAAGCCCATTCCTGCTGGGGGCCCTCAGTGCTGGGAAGTGACAATTCTCTAAGTACTGGAGGATGGCCGGGGGTCTGAGCCCAATGCACCAATTCTAAGTTTGTTTCTCAGGCCCTGTTGAAGGATATTGCTAAGGGGTTCTCACCCCTAGCAACCCGGAGAAGGAGGGGATCTAAACTCCCTCCTGATCCAGGTCTGACTGGACCGCATCGCTAAGGAGGCTTCCTCCTAGCAGCCTGGGGGAGCAAGGCTCCAAACTCTCTCTTGACCTGAGGTGATGCTGGGGGTGATGCCGTGGTGACGTCTCCCTCCCCTGCCCCCAGCCCCTCCCCAGCTGTCTTCGCTTCGTCCAGGCCAACATCTCCCACCTCCTGCAGGACACTTCCCAGCAGCTGGTGGCCTTGAAGCCCTGGATCACCCGGCGGAATTTCTCCAGGTGCCTGGAGCTGCAGTGTCAGCCGGGTAAAGGTGCCCAGCGCCCCATAGCCCACCGCCCCACCCCCTCCTCTCCCGCCTTCACTAGGCCCTCACCCCTTCCACTCAGGGCTCCCCAGACCCCACCGTGTTCCTATGGGCTGTGTGACTTTGGGCCTGTCATCCCCCTCTGGGCCTCAGTTTACCCATCTCTGAGAAGGGATTAACCAATCCTGCCTGTTTCTCTGAGGTAGCTCTATGCCATAGAAATAGAATGAGAGTCACACGTTTAAGTGTAAATTTTCTTGTAGCCATGTTTAAAAAAAGTTGAAAAAAGGTTAATTCACTTATTTTTCAGGATTCTTTTTTTTTATTTCTTTTTTGCGGTACGCGGGCCTCTCATTGCTGTGGCCTCTCCCGTTGCAGAGCACAGGCTCCGGACGCGCAGGCTCAGCGGCCATGGCTCACGGGCCCAGCTGCTCCGCGGCATGTGGGCTCTTCCCGGACCGGGGCACGAACCCGCGTCCCCTGCATTGGCAGGCGGACTCTCAACCACTGTGCCACCAGGGAAGCCCAGGATTCTTAATGTTTATTATTTTTAGCATATTATTGGTGGATTTATTTTTAAAACTTTTTTATGTGGGGATAATTACAGATTCAAAGGAAAGGGGCATAGAAACTGTACAGGGAAGTCCTGCACACCCTTCACCCAGCCTCCCCAGTGGTACCTTTTGCTTGGTAACATTAATTATAGCACAATGTCAAAACCAAGAAATTGACATGGGTGCAATCCACAGAGTTTATTCAGAGTTTACCAGTTATATATGCATGCATGCATGTGTATGTGTATTAGTTTGTTACAGCTGCTGTAACAAAGTACCACCAACCAGGTGATTGAAGCCCCAGAAGTTTATCTTCTTATATTTGGGAAATTGAGGTGTCAGCAGGACCAGCTTCTTCTGAGGGCTGTGAGGGAAGGATCTGTTTCAGGTCTCTCTCCTTGGCTTATAGATGGCCATTTTCATGTTCACATGGCACTCTCCCCCTATGCATATCTCTGTGTCTAGATTTCCCCTTCTTATAAGGATACCAGTCATATTGTATTAGGGCCCACCATTAACAGCCTCATTTTAACTTGACCACCTCTTTGCAGACCTGATCTCCAAATAAGGGCACATTCCGAGGTACTGTGGGTTAGGATTTCATCATATGAATTTTGAGGGACCCATTCAACCCCTAAAAGAGAGTGTGTATCTATGTGTATCTATGTAATTTTATCACACATGTAGCTTTGTGTAACCACATGTGAGTTTGTGCAACTAGATCTTGTCCTAAAACTCCCATCCTAACCCCTGTCAGCCAGTAATCTGTTCTCTATAATGATGTTATTGAATTTATTATTATTACTATTATTATTTTGGCTGTGCTGCATGGCTTGTGGGATCTTTGTTCCCCAACCAGGGATCAAAGCCGTGCCACCTGCAGTGGAAGTGCATAGTCCTAACCACTGGACCGCCCGGGAATTCTGCGATGTTATTGAATTTATTTATTTATTTAGCGGAGCCTTAACCACTGGACCACCAGGGAAGTTCCTTGAATTTAATTCTCATAATTTTATAATTTTTAAAATAATATTTAAATCACAAATTTTGGGAGGGTACACGCCCCGCAACTTGTGGGATTTTAGTTCCCTGATCAGGGATTGAACCAGGGCCCTTGGCAGTGAGAGCTCAGAGTCCTAACCACTGGACCGCCAGGGAAGTCCCTAAACCAGAAATTTTACTTACTCAATATTTTTTATTTAACTCAATATATTTTAACCCAAAATAATATCATTTCAACACATAATCAGTATTTTTAAAAATTACTTCATGAGGTATTTCACATCCTTTTTTCCCTACTAAGTCTTTAAGAACTGGTGTGTATTTTACATGGACAGCACATCTCAGTTCAGATTGGCTGCAGGTCACATATTTAGTCGCCACGTGAGGCAAGTGGCCACCATATTGGATGGGCTAGCCCTAAAGTTTCAAAGTGGGGAACTCCCTAGAGGTCCAGTGGTTAGGACTCTGAGCTTTTGCCACCAAGGGCACAGGTTCAGTCCCTGGTCAGGGAACTAAGATCCTGCAAGCCATGCGGTGCGGCCAAAAAAAAAAATAAGTTTCAAAGTGAAATAACTTTATTGGAATATGACAAGAGACCACGCCCTGTGAAAACTTAACTTGTTCAGTTTATTAAGGTTTCCTTTACGGCCAAGTATATAATCAGTTTTGTAACTGAACAAGGTCTTAGGAAAATAATAGATTTTTTTTTTTTGGTATGATCAGGGTTGAATCAGTGTGTATATATTCTATCAACCTTATCTTGGTATTATTCAGAGACTTTCTGTCTTTGTTATATTTGTCTACAAGATCTGACAAGTTCTGAGAGGGATGGTTAAAAACCTCCCGCTCTAGGGACTTGCCTGGCTGTCCAATGGTTAGGACTCCATGCTTCCACTGCAGGGGGCACAGGTTCCATCCCTGGTCAGATCCCGCAAGCCGTGCAGGGGGTGGGGGTGGGGGGACATAAGAAAACCTCCCACTCTAATTATATTCTTCTCAGTTTCTTCCTGCATTTCCAATCATTTAGTCATTTATATATTTTTTATTTATTTATTTTTGGCTGCGTTGGGTCTTCATTGCTGCGCGCGGGCTTTCTCTAGTTGCGGCGAGCGGGGGCTACTCTTCGTTGCCATGCGCGGGCTTCTCATTGAGGTGGCTTCTCCTGCTGCGGAGCACGGGCTCTAGGCGCGTGGGCTTCAGTAGCTGTGGTGAGCGGGGTCAGTAGTTGTGGTGCATGGGCTTAGTTGCTCCGCAGCATGTGGGATCTTCCCGGACCAGGGATCGAAGCCATGTCCCCTCCATTGGCAGGTGGATTCTTAACCACTGTGCCACCAGAGAAGTCCTAGTCATTTACATTTAACGTTGTCATTTGTATTTACATGTATCACTAATCATTCATTCAACCAACCTTTATTAACCATCTCCCTGGCGCCTGGCATCGGAGACACAGCACAGAACAAGATCAAGTCCATGTCCATGGGAGGCTGACCTGCTAATCAAGGAGACAGACGATAAACATGTAAACATATAATTAATCAGGAAAGTGAGTGTAATGAGCCCCATGCCGGCAAATTAAAACAGGGTGATGGAATCATGGGCTGAGGTGGTTAACTGGAAAGTCACTGAAAGTTGTGAAAAAGGGAACAGCCAGTGCAAAGGCCCTGAGGCAGAAACCTGCCTACCTGTTTAAGGAGTCATGAGGAGGCCCCAGTGGCTGAGGCCAAGTAAGCAAAGGGGAGAAGGTGGGGGGTGAGGGTACAGAAGGAACAAAGGGGGCCAGATCAAGTGGGGCCTTGTGAGACATCATAGCTTCACACATTGCATCTTTCATTGTTCTATTATCTGTCCATTCATCCACTCAGATATTTACTTTATGTAAATTAAACTATTTAGTAAGCACTAAGTAGTAGGTTCCGGCAATAAGGCTCCTGTCACCCTCGGGTAGCTCATAGACTACTGGGGGAAGAAGACAAATAAGCAAATCGATACATAAGCACTAGACACACATTTGTCCCTTTATAAAATAAAATGTAGGGAATTCCCTGGAGGTCCACTGGTTAGGACTTCCATACTTCCACTGGCAGGGGCCTGGGTTCGATCCTTGGTTGGGGAACTAAGATCCCACATGCCGTGTGGGCAAAAAGAAAAAAAAGGTAAAATGATATATTTGAAATAAAAAGTTATTAATGGCTTTAAAAAATAAATAAAACTCAAACTTACTACGTGCTAGACACTGTTCTAAGCACTTTCGGTATATTCATGCATTTAATCTTTGTGACAACCTTATGAATTCGATACAATAATTATCCCCATTTTATGGATGAGGCGACTGAGGCCCAGAGAAGTGAGCAGCCCACCTGAGGTCACACAGCTGGACCAGGCAGGCCTTTTTTTCCTTCCCTAGCCTGGCCCTTCTTCTCAGTCACCCAGCCTCCTCTCTCCTGGCAGACTCCTCCACCCTGCTGCCCCCAAGGAGTCCCGGGGCCTTGGGGGCCACATCCCTGCCGGCCCCGCAGGCCCCTCTTCTGCTTCTCTTGCTGCTGCTGCTGCTGCCCGTGGCCCTCCTGCTGCTGGCCACTGCCTGGTGCCTGCACTGGAGGAGGAAGAGACAGAGGATGCCTTACCCTGGGGAGCGGGTGAGCCAGTGGGGTGGGCAGAGGGCGTGGCTGGAGTCAGCTGATCCTTTGGGGGCCACAGGTGCCCTGCCTGGAGCACTGACTCCTCATCAAGCTGAGGACCCTGGACTTGGTGTTGGCGTGGGTGGCGTGTGTGGCGGGGGTGGGGTGGGGGGCCTTGAGTAGGGAAGGGGTGGGTCAGTCCGGATGCAAGAAGACCCTTCTGGGGCCATGGAGGGGGACAGACTGGAACAGACAGCAGACTGGAGGCCAAAGAGGAGGCTGCTGGGCGAGGGTTCAGGGAGAGAGGACAAGGCCTGAGCCAGGGCCGGACCACGGGGACGGAGAGGAGGGGACAGGCAGAGTCAGGGGTCAGGGATCATTGGGAGGGATGGGGCTAGAGACTGACAGGCTTGGTGGGGGGTGCGAGGAAGGAGGAAGGGGAGGTGGCGCAAGCAGAGAACGCTGGGCCTGGCCCAGTGGGGAACATGGGGGGAGGAGGGAGATTCCGGAAAGACAGTGAGCTCAGTGGGGACCTGTGGGCATGAGGACACCGCCCACCCCAACCTCCGGGGAGGTATTTGGATACAGGAGTCTGCAAGCCAGGAGAGGGCGGCCTCCTGGAGCAGGCAGAGGGAACTGCCTCTGCAAAGCCCTCCTGGTGTGAAAAAGGTCAGGGTGTTCTAGCAACTTCGCCCAGCCTGGGGTGGGTGGGTGGGGGACTGAAAATGGCACAGCAACATCTAGGCCTCGAAGGCAAGGTAAGGGAGCTGGGACTTCTCACCTAGGGCAGCAGGAAGAGGAAGCCCCAGAGGCGAACCTGGGAACCAGTCTGGGGGCAGAAGGTGGGTGGTGCCCCGAGGGAGGAAGGCGTGGAGGGCCCAGGTTCCCAATGTGCTCAGAGGGATCTAACAAGAAACATCTGGCATCAGTGGCTCACACTGAGTGCCTCAGTGTTGCGCTGGAGCTTTCTACAAATTAACTCACTTAATTGAGAAACTGATGCCATTATTATCCCCATTTCACAGAGGCGGAAACCAAGGCCCAGAGAGGTAAATCATTTGCCAAAAGTCACACAGCTCGTGAGTGACAGAGCCAAGATTTGACTCTGGGCCTTCTGATTCCGGCTTCTGTGCCTTTCACTCTTTTGCCTCAGTTTCCTTATCTGTACAAAAGACTCTAATAATAATCCTTCTACCATAGAGTTGTTGAGAGGTTAAGGGAAGTGACCACAAAAAACTCTTTGAGCAATGCTGTCCAAGGAAATAGAATATAAGCCACACATGTGATTTTAAATTTTCTTGTAGCTGAATCTTTTTTTAAAGTAAAAATAAGCAGATCAGTATAAAGAATATATTTTAGGGAATCCCCTGGTGGTCCAGTGGTTAGGACTCTGTGCTTCCACTGCAGGGGGCACGGGTTTGATTCTTGGTTGGGGAACTAATATCCCGTAAGCCCAGTGGCGTGGTCAAAAAAAAAAGAATATATTTTATTTCACCCTGTGTATCCAAAATGTTATCTCAACATGTAATCAATACTTTAAAAAATTATCAATGAGATATTTTTACATTCTTTTTTTCATACCAGGTCTTCAGAATGTAGTGTGTATGCTACACTCACAGCACATCTCAATGCATATGTGAAATTTTTATCAGAAATATTTGATCAGTATTTAGATTCCATGAAATTTACAGTTGCATAAGTAGATTCGTATACTCAAGATCTTTAAAACCTACAGAAGTTTTCCAATAACTAGATCACGGAACGATTTCTAAATTAAATGATCTTTCATGTCAGCATTTGTTTTGGGGAGTACTTTTTTTTTTTTTTTTTTGGCTGCATTGGGTCTTCGTTGCTATGCACGGGCTTTCTCTAGTTGTGGTGAGCGGGGGCTACTCTTTGTTGTGGTGCTGTGGTGTGAGGTCTTCTCATTGCAGAGCACAGGCTCTAGAGTGCAGGCTCAGTACCTGTAGTGCACGAGCTTAATAGCTCTGCGGCATATGGGATCTTCCCAGACTAGGGCTCGAACCCTTGTCCCCTGCATTGGCAGGCGGACTCCTAACCACTGCGCCACCAGGGAAGTCCCGGGCAGTACTTTTTATTACAATTCTTTTTGAGATACAATTTTTTTTTTTTTTTTTGGCCATGCCTCGCTGCATGCAGGAGCTTCCCTGACCAGGGATTGAACCTGTGCCCCCTGCAGTGGAAGCTCAGAGTTTTAACCACTGGACCGCCATGGAAGTCTGAGATACAACTTTTTTTTTTTAAACACATTTTCTATCTTTTTTTTTTAAGTCTATATTGAATTTGTTACAATATTGCTTCTGTTTTATGGTTTTTTGGCTGTGAGGCATGTGGGATCTTAGCTCCCCGACCAGGGACCAGGGACCAGGGGTCGAACCCGCATGCCCTGCACTGGAAGGCGAAGTCTTAATCACTGGACCACCAGGGAAGTCCCCGAGATACAATTTTCAATTGAGAAGTTTTCCTCCTACCCTTGTCCCTGTTCACACCCTGTTTTCCCACTCTCCCAATAACCACACTATTAGTTTAAGTTTAAATTAGGTAAAATGAAAAACTCAGTGTCTCAGTTTTGCTGGCCACATTTAGAGTGCACAGTATTCACATGTGGCTGGTATCACAGCTGTCCTGGAGAGCGCAGATCTCTCATAGTTGCAGAGAGTTAGTTCTCTTGGCCAGCAATGCCCAAACACATAGTGAGCATTCAGGGTGAATGGAGTTGTTTTTGACATTGAGACTGTGCCAAGCCCTGAGCTTGGTGCTTTCCTCTCCTCTGTCCACGGAGCCTCAAACAGCCCAGTGAGTCATCTATCATCCCATTTTACAGAGGAGGACACTGAGGCCCAGAGAGAGGAGTCACCTGCCCGAGGACACAGAGTCGGAACTTGGAGGAAGTCAGCTAGAAACTGGTCCTTTCCTTGGCCACATTGCTCCTGTCACTGTCTCCCCAGGATGGAGGCAACGCCAGCACCCAGCGGCGGCCCCGGCCTCCCCCTCCCCCCTCTGTACAAAGCCCTTGTCCCCAGGAAATTGTATATAAATCATCCTTTTCTACCAGCTCTGGCCAGGCCTGTCTGTGGATGGGACAGGGTGAGTGGATGGGGCAGTTTGGGTTTGGGTCTTGGTTTTTCAGTTAATGCAGTGTTTCATTCAATACCTATTTTCTGAGGCCTCCTGGGCCCCAGGGCCAGTGCAGGGCAGGGCTGGGACCCACAGGTGAGTGAGAACCAGCCCCACCCTCTCAGGGTTCCTGGTCCATGGGGGAGAAGACAGGGGCCCCAGAGAGCCCCAGTACAGGATGACACACGCTCTAATGGAGGTAGCATAGGCACTGTGGGAGCCCTGAGGATGTACCTGAGCCAGCCTGAGATAACAGGGAAGCTCTCTAAAGAGGACTCAAGCCAGATTTTAGAAGGTGGGGGTGGAGGGAAGGGCATCCCAGTCAAGGAGAACCGCCAAAGCAAAGGCTTTGTCCAGAAAGTCCAGAAAGTGAGAAGCTCCTTTGGGGAACACTCAGACATCTAGAAGTCATTCCTTCATGCGTTAGATCTCATGGGGAAGACCATCTCCACCTTTTTGACAGGTGAGGACACTGAGGCCCATACACAGCCAGGGATTTAGCCAGATCACAAGGAAGCCGGACAGGCACCGGAATCCAGATCTCTAAGCCTAGACTAAGCGCTAAAGGGCAAGCCTCGTTGCCCGCTGTGGGCCTACACGTATTATCGCTTTAGGGGGTAAGAGCGCTTCTCCTCCAGCCTTCTCGCCCCCGTCCCACCGCAAACACAGCGGGCCATTCGCGCGAGGATTACCAGCCCCTCCTAAATACCGCAACAGAGGCTGAACAGCCCCGCCCCCGCAGAGCCCCCTCCTACCCACGTGATCTCGCCCGGCACAGCCATGGCCGCCTAGGTTCGATAGAAACGATACTGATTGGACAGTCAAAAGACGACCCGCCTTCCAGTGGGCCTTTCTGCGCACGTGTACGGCACTCTGGTCCGTGAAAAGACGGAAAGCGGCCGTGTTGCGTCACTTCCTCCGCCCCTGTTTCAAGGGATAAGAAACCCTGCGGTTAAGGTTCCTTCTTTCCCAGGCGGCTGCCGAAGATGGCGGAGGGGCAGGTACACGCTCTGCGCGGGCCGGGGCAGTGTGGGGCTGGGTGGGGTCGAGACCGGACCGGGGTTGGACCTCTTTCCTCTCGTAAGTGTACTGTGGAACTTAAGATCGATAACTGAGCAAAACAGAAAGCCTTTGGGGTAAGAGGAACCCAAAACGGGAATATAAAGCGGTTTTTATGCTCTGGGCTGGCTAGAATGCGGCATCATTTTTCCCCCAGGGGGCAGTGATCGGGGCTTCCAGCACAAGAAAAGTTATTTTAAAACTAGGCCTGATTTACCTTGATCTTGGCCGGGTCTTGGCCGAATTGGGCCCGTGTGTCCTCAGCGGTGGGGAAGCACGCGGAAGGCAGCTGCGCGGCCAGGGGACGAAGAGAGGCCGAGGATTGGTCAAAATGGAGGGTACTTTCGCCCTGCCCAAGGCGCGGGTTTTTCGGCCTCGTGGGAGTGCGCATTAGGGTTCTCCTGCAGCTGTAGGTATTTTAGCGCGAAATCTTTGCAGCGGGTCGAGGGAGCTCCCGCCTACGGGGCATGCAGGCACGAGTTGCTTTTATCCTTTCTCTTGGGGGTCGAGGAACTCTTTAAAGGTCTGCTGGTGCTGGAAACAGGATTGTAATGAAATGTTTACAGCACTGGGATATCCTTTGTCCTTAACGACCTGGAGGCCCTCAAGGATGGCAGCAGAAACTTAACTCTGACTTTGCCCAGGCTTCTTGTGTAACCTGTTAGATATAAAGGAGGGGATGGCTCTGGAAGGGGTGTGCCTGTGATGGGTCTGTGGTTCCGGAAGGAAAACCATGTTTGGGGCCAGGCAAGTGGTAGAGTTCTCCGAACCTGTGTCCCTGCATTTACGGTGCCTGGTGTAGTTTGCCTTGTATTTTGTGTAATTCCGTTCATTTATCATAGTGTTCCTGAGGCAGATATTGGAGATTTGGGGGGTTTTGACCAAACTCACATTGTCAGGAAGTCTGGTTTTAGATTCTGTAGCCTTTTACACTGGCTTCCAACAATCATAACATGTATAGGAAGTCCTTGGTAAAGTTGGGACTTTTACTCTTGACAAGAAGTTGAGGATTGGCGTTTGAGCAGCTCGCGGGAGGATGCAAATCTAGTCAATACCAGAGCCAGCCAGGGCTTTTGACTACCCTTCCTAGCTTCATCTGCTCTGAACCTTCATGCTAGAAAAATATCTTTGAGACCAGGACAGAATCAGATTCTGTCGAGATTCTATGGTTTGTATCCAGATCACAGGTTCTTCTGCCTGGAGGATCAGTATTGCCAGTCTGGATTCAGATTGTAGCCCATTTGCTGACCGTCAAGCATAATCTGGCCATAAAGATTCTTGCCCTTCAAGCAGCTGAGATGTGAGGGGAGTCCTTTGGTATCTTATCCCACTCACTGAAATCCTGAGTCAGTCATTTGCTCTCTTGGCCTTCTTTGTAAAGTACGGCTTAGTTCCTAGTTCCTGGGTCTCTTACTTGGTTAGCAGGCACCCTGGGAGGTAGGTGAAATGATCAAGTAGGGAGGAATGATTGTTTGAGGTGGGGAGTCAAAGCTGTGGGTGCCTCTGAGCCCTCTCAACCTATCTCCAACAGGTCCTGGTTCTTGATGGCCGAGGCCATCTCCTGGGCCGCCTGGCAGCCATCGTGGCTAAGCAGGTGCTTCTGGGTAAGTCTGCCCCCTGCCCACAGCTCCCCCAGACATGAGCCTCGAGGTCAGTGATGAGCAAAAATCACCATCTTTCGTTTGAGTCTGACGACCATGAGATCAACCCCATGCACCGCTCTGAGACCTGCCAGCCTCCTCCCCTCCTAGGTTAGGGGCTCTGGGCTCTGTCAGACTAACAAATTGAACTTAAGCATGAGTCCAGCTCTGCCGATTGCTGCTCTGTGACATGGGGCAGGAGACTCCGTGCCTTCCTTGTGCATTGTGGCCAGTTTGAGATGGAAGGAGCCTCCTTTCTGGGTCCTTAGCAGTAATTGGGCCTGCTTCCTAACCTTTGACCTCCTTGATTGTCTCATTTTCCATTCCCTCTAGGTCGAAAGGTGGTGGTTGTGCGCTGTGAGGGCATCAACATTTCTGGCAATTTCTATAGAAACAAGTGTGAGTGAGGGCCTGGGAGGAGGGCTGGAGAGGGTCGACCTCTGTGGGGCTCACACTTCACCGCTCGTAAGCGGTCACACCAGTCGGGGGAGGTCCTAGTCTGAGTTCCCGAACACGCCCTCGGAAGTAAGGTTGTGTGCTGCGTTGGAAGGAGTTACCATCTGCCTGAGGACTCTTGAGGCCTCACACACTCTCCCTTCTTGCCAGTGAAGTACCTGGCATTCCTCCGCAAGCGGATGAACACCAACCCCTCCCGTGGCCCCTACCACTTCCGAGCTCCCAGCCGCATCTTCTGGCGGACAGTGCGAGGTGAGCTGGGCCTGAGGACCACAGGGACTGATGGGGCGGCTGGCCGGTGATGAAGACTTTTCCCACTCGTGTTCGAGTTTCCCAACCATGAGATGACTCCACATGCACTACCATCTGAGGCCGCCTGCCTGCCTGCCCGCCCACCCAGGTCAGGCAGCGGGGTCCTCGCATGCCCCGCTGAGCAGGCCTGTTGTCCTCTGCCCACAGGCATGCTGCCCCACAAGACCAAGCGAGGCCAGGCCGCTCTGGACCGCCTCAAGGTGTTTGATGGGATCCCACCACCCTATGACAAGGTGAGCAAGACCCATCTCCCTCAGTGGCACCTTTGTCTGGCGTCCGTGATGTTCTGCAGTTACCTACATTGTTTGATCCTCGTGAAAACAGCACTGGCTGAGACGCCTGCCGCAGCCAGCCACCTTCCCTGTCTGTCCCTCACTCCAGGTCTCTAAGTCCCTCTCCTTCTCTAACAGAAAAAGCGGATGGTGGTTCCTGCCGCCCTTAAGGTTGTGCGTCTGAAGCCTACACGGAAGGTGAGTTCCGGGGTCTGCTGAGTGATGCCTTGGGGTCCCAGGCTTCCTGGGGGGTGCACCTAGGGCCCTAAGACTGGCAGATGATGGCTTTTTCTCACGATGGTCTGCGGATGCCACTATGGGCAGTGCCGATAATGCCAGTGGCTCAGCTGATGCCAGGAGGAGCAGAGAGCCCTGCCAGGGGTAGCTGTGTCTCTTGAGTGTAGGCTTGCTGAAAGTTGTATGGCTGGACTGGGATCCTCGAGGACCGGATGTCAGCTCCCTTCCCCTAGTCACCCTGGCCTCGTTTTCTTAGAGCTTCGTTTCTCCCTCTCCCCCCCCAGTTTGCCTACCTAGGGCGCCTGGCTCATGAGGTTGGCTGGAAGTACCAGGCAGTAACTGCTACACTGGAGGAAAAGAGAAAGGAGAAGGCCAAGATCCACTACCGGGGGAAAAAGCAGCTCATGGTGAGGGTGGGGCTGTGGCTGGAGGGGCGCCACATTTTCTGGGGCAGGGTGTGGGAGCTGATTGCTCTCGACTTGGGTCTTCGTTATGCCCTCGGAAGGCTCTGCCTAAGGCCCTGTGTGGGTAGCCCCCTGGGATAAGGGCAGTCCTAGGGAGCAGCCATTAACCACCACCTGTCACCTTGACTCCACAGAGGCTACGGAAGCAGGCCGAAAAGAACATAGAGAAGAAAATCGACCGATTCACAGAGGTCCTCAAGACCCATGGATTCTTAGTCTGAGCCCAATAAAATTGACTGTTTCTTCTTCATGCTTGGCCTGGCCTGCCCTTCCTCCATCGCCACCCTAGGATGTGGGGGACCCCAGGGGCTGCCATCCAGGTGCCACAGGCAGCCTGGGGCTTAGAAGACTGGGTATAGCGAAGGCGCCTTAGCCACTGCTGTTTAAGAAAGGCCTTTTTAAAAGCATAGACATTTGTAAGGGCTGTGCAGGCAGAATTTGCCTGTGACCTATTCATTCATGAGAGCTTTAGGACATGGACAGTTCGAACAATCAGT